TTCCTTCTTCTACCTTCCATACCCCTTCCTTTCTAATACACTTCACATTATGCGTTTGAGCGTCGTGCGTTTGTTTATTTATTTTTTTTAAATTAATAATGTAGCGTTCCTTGTGTTACTTTTTTAAATAAAAGTTTGGGTGGGTAGTCAGTTGATAGAAATCGACTGATGAGGCCGTGAGGTCGAAACCATGGTGGCGTATTGAACTTCTGTCCTGTTTTTAAGTTAAATTCTACACATGTTATTTTTAATTTTATTTTATTGTCACACGTATATTGAGCACTTTTTATACTACTGTTTCTTGGTTTGATTCAAATCTGACCATTAACCTTATATATATATATATATATATATATATATATATATATATATATATAGATAGATAGATAGATAGATAGATAGATAGATATTAACATTCCTGGAGAAAAAAGTATCTGAGAAGAACTTACTCTTTATTAAAGGAATATTAAAACAAGTGGTGACGACTGGTCAAAGTGATCATGGTATGGCTATTCTTCGTTATGAATGTCTGAATTTGTGGGAAATCTCTTTTGAACATTTGACATACTTATAGCAATACAATAATGAGAGGCTCACAATTTTCCATCTCTTGGATAAGGTTAGAAATTAATGCATTACTCAGAATGCTGAATAAAAGTTCTTTGAACACGGTGATGCCTGAACAGCGAGGATTGATCGGCACCAGCCCAGATATGTCCTGATCTGACTATTTTAATTCAAATAGTAATGATACCATTAGCTGTTTCTTTATAAGGAAACAATCGACATTCATTTACGATGTCGCAATCCCGTCCCCAGTCACTGTATTTATATGGACGCTGGCACAAACCTGGTGTGGGGCATGAAGTGGTCGAAAATTAGTTGTCTGACCAAACTTTGGGAAATCCCTTCCCAGAAGAGTGATAGTGGCAGAATATCGATCCGTCTGACTCCTTCCGTCTCGTGCGGGTTACTATCACCATCACCGTCCGAAGGGTGCAGGCAATTCCCCCGCCTTCCTTGATTCGTTCTTAACCATCATGTGTACTTGAAGTCGTAAAAATGTAATGTATTGTACAGCGCGGGTCGACTGGGCATTTAAGAAAATACCATCACTTATGATTAAGTTGACCATGAACAGATGGCTTCTACTCTACACGTCCTCGACACCAGAATGCCGAGGTTGGGAGAAAAAGAGAAAATAAACATCTTCTGCTTCCATTGTCCTTGTCTTTCTTATTAGCATATTTTCAGTTTATTGAAAAAGAAAGAATTTCTCCGCGTTTCTCTTTAACCTCTTTTTTTTTTTTTTTTTTTTTTTTGTTATCAGTATATTTTCAGTCTATAGAAAACAGTTTTCCGTCGGAAATCATCTAGTAAAACAAGCCTCCTAACTATTACACCACAAGGTGCTCAATATGACTTTCTTAGCTTAGATCTGACACAAGGACTATATTATGGAGCACCTTGTGAGGATTGAACTTACTACTCATTCGCAATTGCTCTAGCGATTCAAGATTCCCTCATCATTAGACAACGTCGAGGTGCCCAAAATGATTTTCTAATCATAGATTAGATGTGGCACAAGGCCGAAATATGGAGCACACAAAGATGATCGAAGTAACAATTCAGTTTGTACTTGATCTCTCGAGACCAGCTTGATAACCATTACGCCATGTCAAGGTGCCCAAGGTGACTTTCTAAGCGTAGCTTAGATATGACACTAGACCGAAAATTATGGGCACCCAGTGATGATCGAAAACAATTTTCAGTTAGAATTGATCTATCGAGACAACAAACTGCTAACGATTACACCATATCGAACATCCATGGGTTGTATGATTCATATATATCAAAATGTCTTTATTATATTGGTATTACGTTTCCGTTGGTCTGAAACCAGTAATTTGGTAATATGACTATTAGTAATTCAGCAAATATTTCTTTTTTTCTTTTTCATCTCAATCTTATTTTCGCATCATTTCTATTTTTTTTAACATCTTTTATTCTTCAACACGGTTGACGTTAATTGAGCTGCATTTATTGTCTTCGAAAATTCGTTTCTCCATTTACCTACATGTTTTCTGTTTATTTTTTTCTCACCAAATAATTTTCTAGTTATTTGTGAAATCCCTTTTTTTAATCTTCATCCACCTTCATTGTTACACCGACGTCCCGTATGATTTTCGTTCTTAACCATCGAGCTTAGTAATGTATTTCGATGGGTGACCGACTGAAAATACCAGGTGAAGAAAGATGGCTTCTACTCTACATCCTCGACGAATGCAGGTTGGGAAGTAATGGATAATTGACTCAGAATTATTAATCAGGTTTCTCTCTCGAGATCCAATAGCCGTTGATTCTAGTAATTCCCTTGCACCCTGACAATACGTTTCTGAAGAAAGGGAGCACCTATGAATCCTCATTCGAAATTGCTTATATCCCTCAGCTATGGGTTAATTAATTAATTAGATGTGTTGTATCACTAAATTATATTTGTATTATCTTCAAAGATAATGTTCTTACAATCTAAAAATATTTTCCGACTTTATATTTCCTGTAAAGAGTTGGTAAACCGTAAAAAACAAAACAAGCAATTCAAACACTTCATTTCTATTTTATATAATAGTGAACGTTTGCTTTTAAACGTCTCTTTTTTCTTCTTTATTATGAGCCTTATTTTCAAGACGTGGGAAGAATAGCCCCTCATAACTTCCTGTTTGTAGTTCTTTGTAAGGTTTATCTTTTCGTTATCTACCCTAACCCCTGATCTGTCACCCATTTACTCACTGCGTTCCTCTTTCTCTCCTGTCCTCAATATGTCCCAGTGTATGTCATATTCTCTAGTTGCTATTCCCTCATTAAATATCCTAGAAAATGTAATAGTCTTTTAGGGATTCTAAATATAATAGTCATTTTTGTTTCCATTTATTTTAAAACTTCTCTGTCAATCCTATATTCAATCCAAGAGGTTCTCAACTTCCTTCTGTAAAACAACATTTCTGTTCCCGTCATGTATCTTCTTCATCTGTGAGATTTTCGAATTTTTTTCTATCAGCGAGTAGGACGGACATGTGTGAAAAACGAAAAACTCAACGCCGCCGACTCAACATCAGGACTGAACACCGCCGTCTCAACGAACATGTAAACTATGAATTTTTTTTTCCGTCGACTTTTTAAAATCGAATAAAAGTAATTTATTAAGGATTATTATAAATAATCCCTTCAACACCGTATATAAGTAATTCATTAAAGATAAGACGAGAAGTTTACGTCTGCCTAGAAGATTTTCTTCTTTTCAGCTTAAAGTCAAGATTAGAACGGAAAGGCGACAACAACCTCCGTCAGAATTTGGCAAAATCTGGGTTTGTGTTGGGCGTCTGTGTCGAGTAAAAGTTGCTGCCTTGGATTGGCATTTTGATGCAGTTTAGCAGCAGGACATTGAAAATTCGGACGTGAACATTGGCAAACCCACCCAAAGTAGTGTAGGTTAGGATTATTTTGCGTTTAGATTTATCCGTCAAAGTTAACTTAGCTAAGGGATGTATGCTCATTGCCCCCTTTTATATTTCGTACCCACGTTTAATTCCTCCTCCCAGTTAGATGACTAGAGGTATCAGTTCTCTGGTCGATGTGGGACATCTTTCCTTTTTAGTTCTTCGGCTGTTGTTTTCGTATTTGTTTCTGTGTCTAGAAGAGCGGGTGTTTGAGTGAGTGCTTCGTCGAATGTTTGTCTGAAGTCCCGCTATACTTTCGCCCAGTTAACTGATATTTCTGCCACAATTAAGGATTGTGGGGTTTTCTATTACTAACACTGTTTTGTTTTATTTTAGATCATGTTTTCATTGTAAATATTTATTGAGGAAATGTTTAAATGTTGTTATTTTATTCCCCACCTCACAGACAAAGTATAACTATGGGGACGAGTTAGGACTTCATAGACTTTCTGAGGTATGATGGTGGCTGTCGTAAGAATGGCATGTAAGAATTTGTTCTTCTGGTGTAAGGATTATTGTGGTATGCTTGGGTTAGTGATTATGGCTAGCTAAGTATGACAGACGGCGACCATCCTTCGCCGTCACCGATTTTGGCCTCGGGCCGCATTTGTACATACATATAATAAATATCGATAGAATCTAGCGTAGTTACTCCTACTGACAAGCATATATTATCATTTTAAGCACCCATTCTTTTACTCAATGTTCAAACGATATCCACTAAATTATTTCTATTTCTTTGATATGACTTATTCCTTGCAATCGACTTCTCTCTTGTGACTCCGCACATCTTACTATTTTCTCCCACGTACTATGCACCTCTTTCTTTAAAGTTATATCATTCTATTCTCTTCACTTCTCGTTTCCTCATACCTCTCCCCATTCATACAATATCACTTCTTCAGAGCTGTTGTCATCGTTGATCACCAACTTTTAAAAGCTCACCAGGAATATAATACCAGTCCGATTTTTAATGAACGTCTCTAATTAATGATTAAATTCATTAAGCCAATTATATTTCGCCTGAAACTTTTAAACTAACGATATCTATTTCTGTCTGGGAATTGATTTTAATTCGAATCAGTCTTTTTCCATTTCCGACATTTAAATCCATAGACATACTCATTAGCGGAAAAAAAACAGCGAGTGAAAGAATACGTTCGAGAAAGGGGCCTGCCAAATGTAACGACATTCGCTAGAATTATTTAATATTTTTTAATAAATACGGAAATGTAACACATTGATATATTTTTGAAATATTTATACACAGAAGAGCATAGCTTAGAAAAGGAATGAAAAATCCCATGGTTTACCTGGAGGCTAAGAAATATCCCCGAAGATGAAACGAGACATCTTGTAACTATAACATCACGGAACTGAAGATAAAAAAAAGCAGATGGCTTGTGTCCTTTCTTTTTATACTGCTTTACAAAACACCACCTAGTAGGTGTTAAATCCCTTGGCAGACAAATTGAACTAATTCCAGAAACTGTTTTCATCTCGTTGAAATAACGGTTCCCGTACGATCACGGAAGTTAAGCAATGTCGTGCCTGGTCAGTACCTAGATTGGTTACCACTTGGGAATATCCGGCGCTTTGAGCTTGGATATGTGGGTCGGATAATGGCTACCACGTTTTAATCGAAGAGCCGAGTTCCAGTTCGGTTCGTTACGCGTAAGTAGCCTCGGGAAAGGCATGAATCCTCATCTTCTCCCGCCAGTTGTGAGTTAATTATTTAGACTTGTATCAGTAAACCATTAATATCTTTTAAAAAATAGCATTTAAAAATATTTTCTATCTTTAAATAACGTGCAAAGGGTTGATAAGCCGAAGAAAACGAATCAATCAATCAATGAAATACTGAAATGTCTTTTTTAGATTTATTCACATTCTCTGGAATAAAAATTTATAGAAATAAACTTGGCCATGAAGTGAGGGTTCATTTATATATATATATATATATATATATATATATATATATATATATATATTTGTAATATAGAACTGATCCCCAAAGATATATCCACGTTATAAATTCTTGTTTGTCAATCAAATTCTGATTAGATATGAATCCGCCTATTCACCCCTCAGCTATGGGTTAATTAGTAAGACTGGTATCATTAAATTATTTCTTTTTTCTAATTTACTTTTTTTACACTCTAAACTATTTTATGGCTTTAGATTACCTGCAAAGGTTTCATAAACCCTAGGGAAGGACAAAAATGATATTTATATTTAAGAAAATGAAAACAAGAGAAAGCAATTTAGCGAGAGAAGCACAAACTGTTCCTTAGTTGTTATTCGTTAATTATTCCCTAAAAATACACGTTAATATCATAAATAAACGAATAATGTGATACTTCCATAAAAACAAGCCGGTTTAGACCATCCTGTGGAACAATAGAGATTATCTTCACAAGTCTTCAACTGCAAGAGAAATGTAGTGAATACCTTCAACCCTACTATATGCCCTTCATTTCCCTTACCGAAGCATTTGACTCGAGAGGTCTTATTGTATATTCTCTTCATAAATGGTTGTCCACTAAAATACATCCTTATCCTGAATCTCCTTCATGATGACATAGGCTCCATAGTCTTTGCTGACAATGGCAAATGTGAACCGTTCCATTAAGGATGGATGTGTCATTGATCCAATGGTAACGGAATCCATCTCTTGAGAACTCTAAAGATATTTGAGGTGACTTTCTTCAGTGCACTGTTTTAGTTTTATTCAGTACCTTGTAGTGAAAGAGATAATCACCTACTTGGAAAAAGAGATCATTTTTTGTGTACGATCTGCCGAAGTAAAATGACCGAAAGTAGCAAAGATCTGTTACGTTAAGTATAAGAATCTATACTAAAGTCCTTTTCTGCCCTGAATGGCGTGATCAATCAGTAAATTCGCTCGGGGAATAGAAGTCCTTGTTTCCTGCTTGCGAGGGAGGATTTTTTTCAAGGCTTGGTGGATGGACATGCGTTTTTGCTGGTGAGAAGTAACGGTTGTATATGTGATCCCGTTTTGTCGTTTCTACGTTGCCTGTTTGACTGTTACGACGGACTATCGTTTGAACTGTGACTTGGCCACAGTTTTTGCGGAGGAGAAACAGAAGAAACCTATTGCAAGCGTTTATTGCTACTATAAATTTACAGTTTCTTTTTTCTCTTTTCTTTGCTACAATATTCTTTTATCACTCCTCTCCTGGGTAGTGCCAATAAACTATATCTGACCACAAGGGCCCTGGTCGGTGGTTGTTGGGAGCGTTGAACAACCTCTTAATTGCTGTTGTTCCCAGGTCCACCCTTACTCGGGGTAGTAGCATTTGTTTGGACCCTGGCAATGGGAAAATAGTTAAGCCTGAGGTTAAAACACTACGAAAGTATAAAAACTGATTTTTATAGCAAAAAATAACAGTAATAAATTTTTGAAAAAAAAAGTTTTGGTACAACAAATAAATTTAACTCTCGGCAAAAAAAAAAAAAAAAAAAAACTCTTTACAAAAATGCGTCAATGAGAATTGACCTACAGCCGTTTTCTTACCAATACATATTTATTTGAATGTATCCAAAAAATCTTGTCGGCATTAAATAACTCATTGAGATTGATATGCCGTAAAAAAAAAATAAACTAAACCAAACCAAAAATACGTCAATGACACTTGATCTACAATCTGATATCTTAGTAAGAATACCTGTTCTATTCATACGAACCTTTCCTAAAAATCTTACCGCCGATAAATAACCCACAGAGAGAATGAAATACCATATAAAAAAAGAAACCAACCAAACTTTAACGCTTCCAATACTCTCAGAACTGGAACATAATAAATATCTGACGGTATAGAAATCTCTCTCTCTCTCTCTCTCTCTCTCTCTCTCTCTCTCTCTCTCTCATATATATACATTTATATATATATATATATATCTTAAGGTGTTGTAGATTTATGGAATAAAGTGCTCAATATAAGAGATAGAGCGTGTGTAAGTATTAAAGTGAACATTGAACTCAACACTGAGAGGCGACAGTCTGTTTCATGCTAGACGCACTTGTGGTCTAACGATTGCGTCTAGCATGAAACAGACTGTCACCTCTAAGTGTTGACTTCAATGTTCACTTTTATACTTATATATATATATATATATATATATATGTGTGTGTGTGTGTGTGTGTGTGTGTGTGTGTGTGTGTGTGTGTGTGTGTACATCTTTATGTTTGGTAAGTTTAATGCTTATCATGTCCCGTGACTTAATCATTTTAAGGTTATTGATATTGCTTGTATCCAGACTTTCGTTTCTTCCGTTGCTCAGTCTCTCAGTCAAGTAGTGGATTGTCTTACTCGTATGCTTTAGAATTCTGATCCACATGTTTCTTCCTTAACTCTACTTCTGAATCTTGTCAAGCATCGGAACTTTTTTTCCTCTTTCCTCAACTTCAAATTGGTTAGAAATCTCACATCGCGGAGTTGGCCTTCAAAGAAGTAATATGGCTTTTGCGTCTCTAGCCCAGATGTTGATTCGTCAGTCTTTTTTATTTCCCGTTCTGTTATTGTTTTATCTCTTAAATAGTATTTTTCTTTTCTTTTTTTTTTTTCATATTCTTTCTCAGTCATTACTCCTCTTGTATTTTAGTGGCACTATTTTCTTGCTTTTGGTTAAAGGATTAAAAATGTGAGAGATATGTGAATACATTGGGCACGACATGTGAAAACGAGAAGCCTAATTCCTTGGAATTCCATTTGTTGTTTATGTAATTCCAAAAGTAGTTGTTGTTGTCTTTCTTCTGATTTTTGTTGCTGATCCAAATTTAGTTTTAACATTTGGTCAAATGCTTTTTGAAAATCTTCCATATTTAAAAATGACAGCGCGTTTTTGTTGCTTTGAAACACGTGTACAAAGAGGAGGTACACAAAAAAATCTTTATAGATTTTTGTTTCTTTTTTTTTTCTTTTACAGAAAAAAAATATGGACAGACAATTAGTTAAACTAAACTAATTATGTGTTTAGCTTTTTTTGAGATTCCGTGGTTCCGAACGTAATTGTATCAATTTTCACCACACATGTATTTTTTTATAGAGGTACAAAAAGAAAAAGAAAAACTCGCCTCGGTGAATTTGAGGGGAGAATAATTTTATGCATGAGTTCAACTCAGTTACATAAAAAAAAAATTTCGCAAACTACATCCGCCTTCTGGGTATGACGATAAACTACATCCGCGTCCTGGTTATGACGATAAACTACATCCGCGTCCTGGGTATGACGATAAACTACATCCGCGTCCTGGTTATTACGATAAACTACATCCGTGTCCTGTGTAAGAAGAAACACTACATCCGCGTCCTGGGTATGACGATAAACTACATACGTGTCCTGGGTAAGAAGAAAAACTACATCCGCGTCCAGGTTATGACGATAAACTACATCCGCGTCCTGGGTATGATGATAAACTACATCCGTGTCCTGGGTAAGAAGAAAAACTACATCCGCGTCCTGGGTAAGAAGAAAAAATACATCCGTGTCCTGGGAAGAAAAATAAGAACGAAAACTACATCCGCGTCCTGGTTAAGAAGAAAAACTATATCCGAAGATAAACTACATCCGCGTCCTGGGTATGACGATAAACTACATCCGCGTCATGGCTATGACGATAAACTACATCCGCGTCCTGGGTAAGAAGAAAAACTACACCCGCGTCCTGGTTATGACGATAAACTACATCCGTGTGCTGGGTAAGAAGAAAAACTATATCCGCGTCCTGGTTATGACGATAAACTACATCCGCGTCCTGGTTATGACGATAAACTACATCCGACGATAAAAACACTACATCCGTGTCCTGGTTAAGAAGAAACACTACATCCGCGTCCTGGGTAAGAAGAAAAACTGACGATAAAAGAAAAATACATCCGCGTCCTGGGTATGACGAAAACTACATACGAAAGATAAACTACATCCGTGTCCTGGGTATGACGATAAACTACATCCGAAGATAAATTACATCCGCGTCCTGGAAGAAAACTACATCCGATGATGATAAACTACATCCGCGTCCTGAGTATGACGATAAACTACATCCGCGTCCTGGGTATGATGATAAACTACATACGTGTCCTGAGTATGATGATAAACTACATTCGCGTCCTGAGTATGACGATAAACTAGATACGTCTCCTGGGTATGAGGATAAACTACATCCAAAAGAAAGCCTCTGATCAAGAGGTTTCGAGGAACGTGGAACCAACTCTTAGATGGTGGTGTAACGAGGTCCACCTAGACTCGGGTTGGTAGCAACTGTCAGGGTCCCAGCTAAGGGTAAATAGTTAATCCTCCAAAAAATGTCAAAACACTATGAAAGTATAAAAATATATTTTCATACCAGTAATATATTTTTGAAAAAAATTATTAGCAACAATACATTTTTGAAAAAATTATTACCAGCAATAAAAATATTGTCAACATTAAATAACCCATTATGGTTGATATGCCTTAAAACAAACCAAACGAAACAACTGAAACAGACTTTAAACAAACCAGTCTTTGTTTCTTTGTTTCTTCCGTTTTTTACCAAGTAGAGTCTGTGATATGTCATTTCCAGCTTTTT